TGCATCGAATTACTTATTTCTATAAGTGTTTAATCACACCCAAAAGCTTTTCATCACTAAGGTTTAGAAATCATAACAACCGTGCAATAACTGTCAACCATTTGCTTCAATCTAATATCAAGCATGTGAAATCCACCATTTATCAAGTTATAGATAAACTAGAGTCAGATTATTTAAATACAATTGAGCTTTAAAAACGTTTAACACTTGATTTATCACTCTAAAGGTTGTTGATGAACAAGGATGTCTAATAGTTGTTTAATTAACGAAGGTTGAGGCAATTCTGCGTTAAATTATTTATGAATATTCTTTAAGTTTCTAGTGTGTAACCATGAGTAATTCTCATCATTTTTAATATGTTAGTTATCTGAGCAATAAAAATTACATGAGTATTAGTTGACATTGATAGTCTTTTCTGTCCAATTTCTAAACTCGTACAGCAATTGTATATTACATCACTCTAAGTGTCATATTATTCCTAAGTAATACGATGAATATAGCGGGACTCGAATTTATGGACGTGCCAATCAGAAGCGTTTGAGAGATCTCAAGGTGAAGGTGCCAACTTCAATGCTTAATGCTAACGTACGATCAGTTCATAGGGAATTTTGTACAAAGCGTGATAATTGGTCGGCTATAACAAGTAAAACGGTGATACTATAATTTGTGGATGAAGATAAGAGATAACAGATCCCCGATTTTGGCGTGAAAGCCTTTCATCCATTTGGCTAAATAGATTTCTGGCGTTATAGCTGATGTCAGTTCGTGATGAAAACCCTACATATAATTCCTAACTAAGGCAAATTATGACAACTATTGCGAACTGGATAATAAAAGCACCAGTAACACTGGCTGCAGCCAGGTACTACAATATATACGGATAATTGGAGAACGTACAGACTCCTACATAAGCATCGTGCCGTTATCCACAAGTAGCATTTTGTGCATTCAACAACCGGAGTGCACATAAACAATATTGATGTTATGTAGTCGAGGCTGAAAGAGTATATCTTCTTTACAATCCGCTGTAAACCAATCATGCGTGAGCATTGGGTAGTATAATAGGTGCCATGACTTTGAGATCGCTCAAGAGCCTCTGATTGGCTCATCTATAAATTATAGTTTCGCCGATTTTTTAATTGAGCGGCTAAAAAATATGGAATTACTAAGTTCCTTTATTTGTGATTGCGGTATTCAAATGGCTCCTTGACCTTGTGTAGAATATCGTGATGATATTGTATTTTGATGTAGTATATGTTGGAGGAAAAAGTCTGCTAGGACGGAAACATTTTTTGCTCGGTCTCGGTTGAAACTAGGACAGATTATGGTAATTGTTGCAAACTGGGTAGTAAAAGCACCAGTAACACTGGCTGCAACCATTGCAGATGTCACTTAAGCTTTCTCAGTTCAGTGGTAGCAGTATTGTGGAGATATATGTGCAATGAAAATGACAAGCTTGTATGAGTTTTTTGGAGCAGTTAGGAGAATTGTAGAAATAGATGAAATTGTCGTTAGAAAACGTGAATTCAATAGAGGACGATGTGTTAAAGGAGACTAAGTAAGTAGTATTTCCATAAATATATTTAACAGGTCCTTGGTATATACGAAAGACCACGTCTAAAAGAACATTTCCAGCAAGTATAAATCGATAAGCTACAACTATAATACCAATTATACAAGAGTATTTGCCGCTTGGGACCACAATATACTTGGATGATAGATGAGCATATAGATGCTTACATAGACTCGGTTACGTGCATCGTGTCGTCGTCCGCAAGCAGCATTTTGTAGATGCCACCACTGGAGTACACAAATAATATAGAAGCAATGTGGTCGATGCTAAAAGAATTTTGCAATCTTATCAAGGCTCCAGAGGTTGACTATTTGGAGTCACATGGATGAGTTCCTGTATCGTACGGATTACTATTTCAGAACTGCAAAGCCTCTTTTTAACCTTTAAAAGTTTTTAACCATATTAAAGAAGTATATCCACTGCAATTTTTTAGTTTTGTATAATATATTCTTACTCTATACAGACTGTTTTCTCAGGTGATCCAGCTCAGAGAACAAAACTCCACCAAGACTGTTTTCTGATTGACTAAAACTTCTCAAGGTCACTTGAGATTAGCTCAAAAGTCGTCCATAAATTATAATCTCACCATATGCAACTTATGACTTCTGTCAGCTAATTAAGAGGGTTAAAACCTTCCTAATATTCAAGTCTTTATCAGTGAACAACTTAACAAACTGCTGTATACGGAAAGATATATGGACGAATAATTTACAAGTTGACGATAACGGTGTTTACTATTGACAACTACCACGATTATTCATCTGATTGATTATTTAAGTATAAATATAATAACTAAACGCAATCTTTCCATTTTTATTTTGTAAAAACATACTACATGGGAAGAAGGCGTAGCGTATCAGATCCCTTGAAAGCTTGGTGGAACTTGGTATTCTTTTCCATAACAAACCTTCGGAGTATTCAGCTGAATATGCTATCATCGGGAAGTAACCTAAATATACGTCGTAACGTTTTCTCAAAACTTGTAAATTGATTTAGTTCTTTAGTTTATCATACTTATCATTAAACATTTGTTTGCTCAATTATCCAATTACAATATAAGTAGTTAATTACTTTTGTATGAACCTCTAAAGATGTATGTATTTATCTGTCACAGTGAATTGCTTTACACTCTTAAAAGTTCTTATAACAAAACGGGTACTTATAAAATGAACACTTAGTTATTTCTAATTGTCACAAACAGTTAATCGTTAAGATTCTCATTATACATCCCCAAGAAACTATGATAAAGATAAGAATAACAACTATGCAAAAGTTTATTAATACATCATCAGTAATGATAAAAGAAAAACAACATTTGATTCAGAAAACTAAGTCCAGGTACTTTGTTTCTAGAACATCTTCACATTTTCTAATTTTCTGAGTCATTGTAAAGTAGATTACACAAAAATAAGCGTTAGAGAAAGTGGAGTCTTATCGAGTTATTGATGATTCTTAAGTAATCATTGTCGACTTTTCTTTTCACTTTCATCATGAACTGCTCACCATATTTATTTACGTTCTGTTGATTGTACATATTCTGGCTTCATTGGATCTGTGAATACTGTTTACTTCGCCTGTGGAATGAAACTATTGTTATGTAAGAATGTATGTGTTATATATATAGTCACGTTTAATCCCTTATTCTCCCATGGTCTTGGTACCCCTTCGAATTTTAAGAACTATAATTGCTAGTTATTACATTCTTCTTTATTAGGTAGACAGTTATCTTAATCTTTTATTCCATAGATTATTACTTTTCATTACTTCCAAAACTATTGTGTAACGTAGGCTCATGATGATTGTTAATTACTTTGTTAGATATTACGTTTTTTTATTCAGTACTTTAAAATTTTGATAACATTGAAATGACACTCATCTATTTAATAGTTGAGTTCATCAGTCAATTTCAGTTAGACCACTAGAGAAAACCTGAAAACACTGGACGGCCATTTCGTCCTAGTATGGGACTCCTCACCAGTGCTCATCCATGGTCCTACACGCTGGACTTAAACCCAGGATCTTCGGTCTCACGTGTGAATACTTAACCCCTAGGCCACTGAGCTGGCCGGTATCCAACGGTGTTAATGTCTAACTTCAACCAACTAACGTTCATTTACTTGAAATACTTGAAGATTTTTGGTAATCTCAATTATATTATGCAACACCACTTTATTTTTATTGACTTCCACGTGAATAAGTTTGGTTGTCTTTGATAATCTTGTAAAAACCCCTCTGTTTTACTATGGACTACGTGTAAAAAATTACCAATAAATGTGATTGAACAGCTTCATTGAATGATATCGTTCAAAAGAACGTTTTTTTCGTTGGAACGTCTTCATTGTTTTTAATAAATCAATGGAATATCGTATGTTTTTTCAAAGTTTCATACCTTTAAAAACTTATTTCCTCTTGAAACATGTTTGTATTGATCACTTGGCTGAAGGATAAGCTTGCTTGAAATAAACTTATTTAATAGCACTTCTTCTAGTGGCTTAATTATTTCAGAAGTTGAAATCATTGAAGTTAGACCGCCATAGAAAACCTGTAAGCACTCGACGGTCGTTTCGTCCTAAAGTGGGACTCCTCACAAATGTGCACTCACGATCCCACGTAGCGGGGTTCAAACACAGGACCTATCAGTGTCGCGCGCGAACGCTTAACCTCAAGACCACTGAGCTGGCCGGCATTCAATGGTGTTAATTTATAACTTCAACTAATACATGAAATTGAGCGACATATCCACTATTGTCATCACTGATTTCCTGTCTCACAACAGACCTGGTTGAAATCCACTGGTCACTGCTTCTCACTAAAACTTCAGGAAATACCTCTTGTACTCTATTTTCTACGCTAATCTTCAGTTTCCGACATAATTGTATTTTCCTAATTATTGTACGTTATGATCGGGTTAGTCATCTATTTACACTGATCGGAAAATCGGGAACGAGATCGGTATTGAGAATAAATTATGTAGTGTTCCAGTTGACTTGTCTTCTCTCACTTGCATACTTGTCAGCCAATCACGTGATAGAATAGTTTTCGTCTCTGAACCCCAAACAGTTAATTTCACTTCGAACTCACGCATACTAGCCTTAAAGTTAAGTCAGTCAGCCTATCACGTCATGTTCTTAATCTACATTAGACAAGTTATCCTCAGTACTAAAATTGGGTAAACAGATCAAGGACGTAAGTACTCTGTAATTATACGCTAAACAATAAATTAGTTATCCCCCATTAAATCTTTATTTATTTTAATCTGTAAACAAATTCTTCCCTACAACTTTTGACCGCACTCTTTTTGTTATAAATTCAGAAACAAATACAATCTAATCACAAAAGAAAGTTTACTAACATTTTAAATCGTACATAATTAAGAAGAAAACAAGAAAGAGAAAGAAAAACACACAGTTTCATAAATATTCTACACCTTATTGATTGCAAGTTCTAAATTTATTTGATTATTTGTAGTTGAATTGTCATTGACTGAAAAATAGAAGAAAATAGTTTTTATTCTGGTGAAAAATTTATCCAAGATTTAACTAATTTTTTTCACAATTTCTTGGTTAAAAAATGGAGAAATGGATAGCTATATGATGTGTTCTGACAGTATTACTCGATTATCCTTTGTGTGTTATTTTATACTACTTATAAATATTCAGTAACCAGTGACCATTCACAAAGTATGTTGAGTAAATCCGTTATTGATTGAGATCTTGAGGCAATTGATGTTGGAACGCCATTGATAACCTAGGAGCACCGGACGACCGTTTTGTCCTTAGCAGTGTGCACCCATGATCCCGCTCTTGAGATTCAAACCCAGGGCCTTTAGCCTCGCACGCGAACGCTTAACCTACTTGACCACTGTGCCGGCATCTAATGTCGAACATCAATCCACCATCTTCTATTGTACTGAAGTAGATACCTGTCTCTACCCAACACGGATTAGCTCCACTGGTCACGGCTTCTCTCTAGAACTCCGAGAATTCCCTCTGGAAGTTGGTCACTAGTGAGCACATGGTAATTATCAGTATAGGGTTGTTGATGCGCACTGCAGAAGAGGCCTATGTTAGTACGAAAAGGCCGTCCAGTGGTTCCAGGTTTTCAATTGTGGTCTAACATCAATCGGTTCAAGATCTCAATCGATAACTTAATAATCTCGACAACTCTATACTAATGAATCCATTATTGTTTCGTATTTTCAATCATTTAAGCAGACCTACTCATCATTGTAACGGAATCTTCTTATCATTTCTAATGGTTATTTCTGATTTTATTTTACAGTCAATGAATATTTGTTTTACTATAACAGTTATCGTATTTTATGTTCTTTGCCTTCATTTTGATGTTATCTACTATTGCAGTTTCGACACAGCTATTAGTAGTCACATTAGTTTATTGTATTTTGTTATTACATAACTAAAGTATTCATTTTAGCAAGCACGGTTCTTTGATTGCATTGCCGTAGATACCTAACAAATGGTATTGTAGTAGTACTGTATGATACCATCACTCACCCATAAGTTTTAAAGTTTGAATGAAATCAATCAGGAATGATCGGATTAGTTTCATGATATTGTTTTTCAATTATGATTTTAGTAAATGGTAGTTAAAATTTCACTGGAATTGTTAGTTCCTTTAACATTGTAGATACTCTTTTCTAATATATAGTAATTAATCGATAGTTCAGCTCTGAAGGTTTCTGTGAACTTATTTCAATTAGATAGTATCAAAATGAAGTTAGTTCATATCATCTAATGTGAATAACTTTTATTAAAAGTTTATGATGGCTATGCTGTATATTCTTTCCACTAACACTTAATTACCATCAAGTCAATTCAATAACTACATAATTCCATAATAATGAAAAACCTTACACGAGATTTTAGTAAAGAATCTGAAAACTTGTAACTCTTTAACAATATTAAATGCTTCAACTCTGATCTGTTCAATGTTAGGATGGTCAATCAGGTAAATGAAGATGAATTTACTATAAAAATGATTAATTTGATCAATATATTTACACAAAACAATTTGGTTATTGATTATCTTGATCATTTAAATCAATCCAAGTACTGTTGATATGAACCTACTTATTTAAGATTAAGTAGTTTGTTTTTATCCATTTAAAAAAGTGACATAATGAAAGAAAGTTAAGTAAACTATTGTAGTAAACTCATTCAACTATTGTATTATTTATCTGAATACTGTAATTTAGACACTTGATCCACCATGCAATTTTCTGCGTGAGTCTGATTGAGCACATTTTAATCTATTCTCCCATTGGTTGTAACATACAGATAATCAATAATTTATCCATACTTGATTAACACTCATAAATATATATGGATTTTTTACCACTCACACACACACACTTGATTTTCCCTGTATGCTTGCTTCCTATACGCTTGTACATTTTACCAATCTTTAACAGTAAACTATCTCTATAACTGATGTTAAGGCTTTTGAATACTCTCGAGTAAACCCACAATTCTACTAGGAGATTTAACCTGCATTCAATACTCAGTCAATCGAATACTATTTATTAAAGTCAGATATAAAAGACACTAACCTGTCGACTATAACATTCAAATAATCTATGGATAACTTACGGCTAAATGATGAAGAGAAATCCAATTTTTTATTGATAATATCATTTAATTCAGTTGAATTACGTAACATTCCTAAAAAGTCCATTTCTTTTAATTCTTTTTCAAAATCATCAGAAATCCAAAAACTTTTAGATACTAATTGACCTAAATAATAAAATATAATAAATAAACAAAATTATTAACCATATATATGTATAATCATGTATATTATGAATAAGTTTAACATTGAAGTTTACTAGGGTTATAACTGTGACTGCAGATTAGACGGCAGCGAATTGTCGATCGAACCAAAGACGCGTAAAACACGTGAGAACAACCTAGAGTCCTGATTGGTCCCGCTTCCCTGTCTAGCCTAGCCAGTTGAGTCCAGAACACAAGTCTCAGCCTCTGAGATATGAATCATTATATTTCAAGCATACTGAGTTTATATACTAATCAAACCGAGCACAATGTACCAATAAAATATGAAACAACATTTGTGCAAGAAATAACCAGATGTGGCTGTGAATCAGGGAGGTAGTTATCAATATACTGGGTATAACTCAAGAATGGTAAAACGTATAATAATGATTCATAGGTCAAAATAAAGCTTATAGTAACAGGGACATGAATATAAATAGTTTAGTTATTTAATAAATATACAATAGAAATATACGTTTAGTGTTGGTCCATAAAAGGATTCCAAAGTTATCACTTATTATGTTTCTCGGGTCCCAACAGTAAATTTAACATTAAAGTTTACTAGATAAATATTAGTTTACATTATATAATACAATATCATTATCTGAATAGTTGAAATCATGAAGGAATTGAAGCTAGATCATTATGGAAAACTTAGAAGCACTGGATGACCATTTCGTCCATGATGCTCCAGCTTCAACTGACTCATGATCTTAATCATTGAAATTATTATTAGTTCTTTGTTTCATTTATTATCCCATCATTAATGTTTTACATTTTATTTATTATGTTCAATGTAATCTATTTCACTGTTATTAATGACTAATGAACGACCCTGAATGGTTTATTATTATTATTATTATTCTTTATCATATTCTATCCTAATTTTAAAATGTTTAATATTCAATGTTAAATTCAATGTCAATTAATTTGAAAATTGATCATTAAAAGATAATAATATTTCAAAACAAAAAACAAACAAACAACCTACGTGTTGTATTGCTTGAGGCAATTCCATATCGATTTTTCCCTGATATATCTATATCATTATCATTATCAAGGAATTGAGAAATCCATTTTTCATTCATATTTTTTGTTTCAGGTACTGAAAACCATGATGTTTCAGTTTCTCTATTATTCTTATCTATAAATAATGAATATGAGATGATATAATGATAAGAAAAATATATCCATCAGATATTAGACAAATTATAAGTGAATATATATATAATAAAATACATATTATTGATTGAAAAATGGAATATTATTCTATCTAAACTAGATCACTGGTGAAAATGTGGAAGCATTGGATGATCGTTTCATCCTAATATGGGATTCTTTAGTAGTGTACATCTACGATCCTATACGTGGAACTCAAGAACCCAGGAGTTTCGATCTCGATCGTGAACCCTTTAATCTCTAGATCGCTGAGACGGCATACATCAGGGTTTTGTGAATGAATGATATATATATATATATATATATAGAACATATTTATTGCAGTTGAAATTATCAACATATATACATTTACCTGAGGAGGTAGTATTAAGTTTTGTCGAATTATTTTGTAACAATGTTCCACCATTAATTTGACTATTAATAAAATCAAGCATATCTTTATCGGTTACATTTTTATCACCTAATTTAATAACCCATGTAGTTTCTGTAATTTCATCATCATCTAAAATGAGTAGTAAATTGAATAAAAAGAGAGAAAAAAAAGAAGGTAGCGTTTAGTAATTTACTCAAAATAAAATTTTAAGAAAAAAACAGTAAAAATTTCTAAAATAATTTTCTGGAAAAGAAAAAAAATAGAAAAGAAAAGAAATCGAAACGTGAAACTTATTAATCAGTTACCCAAATTTTTAATGCTCTATACTACTGTTAATTGAATTCAGTAGCTAATTTTAATAAAACTAAAAGTTTTGATGATATTTCAAATTTGTTTTTTAATACAACAATCCGTGATGCAAAATGATGAATGGAATTTAATGTAGGCAAATTTAGGATTTTTAAACAAAATACAATAAAATTGTTAATGTTGATATGAGCAAGTTATATTGATCGAAGTTCTAGGAATTTACATTTTCGTGTTTGTGAATACCTCCCAGTGTGGCTAAACAAACGTTTGATGAAGAAAGTGAACAGCTCGATATTGGCCCATTTAGTACAAACTGGTCATAGTGCCAGTACAAACCAATCTTTTTCAATTATTTATAAGGTCAGTAATTTTTTGTCAAAACTTGTCAGACTTAAAGTCGTTCATACAGCTAAAGCATTAGCCATCCGGATGAATAAACCAGAGCTATGTGTAAAGGAGAAATATTTTCAACCACTCCTCCTCCCCTGACCAATATCAAGGCCAATTAATCAATAGTAATCTTAGTTATCGAATGAACTAATTTGACTACGACCTTTCTGTTGTAACGGGTGGACTGCAGGTTAGATGCGCAGCGTTTTATCGATCGGATTAGTGACACGTAAAACACGTAATGAACGACCTAGAGTCCCGATTGGCCCTGCTTCGCTGTCTATGCCAGCCAGTTGAGTCCAGAACGCAAGTCACAGCCTCTAAGATATGAATCACTATATTTCAAACACACTCTGTTTATATACTAATCAAGCAGACCACATCGTACCATAAAATAGAAAACAACATTTACACAATATTTAACAAGTGAAATAAATATCCACCAATAGGGAGTGTACATTTAACGTCCAAGGACACCATTAGACTTGACACGATAAATATTGGTATATTCCTCTGCATACCTAACACTTTCGTAATCAATTGCAACTGTCGCTGTTATCTTTATTCACCAACCTTTGTATTATTATTATTATTATTATTATTATTATTATTATTATTATTATTATTATTATTATTACTGGTTAAACGTCATTATTAATCTCCCCAATACATGATTCATTCACTTCGCATTTATCCCTTCTTACTACGTCCTACTAATTTTTCGCACATTTGACCGGATTGTAATTGCAATATTATGTTCCTCACCCTATCTGACCCACATTTATTCGGATCATGGATCTTAAATTTCACTCCACATATACATAGATTCAAGTTAACATTCTGTTATGAATCATATCAACATTAACAATTTTATTGTATTCTGTTTAACAATCTGAAATTCACATGCTTTGACTTTAAACGACATACTTTACCCTTAACCTTGCCATTTTTCGGATTATTCATTTGGATACATATGAATTGTAGAACCTGAAGAGAATTTATCGAAAAGAATATTCTTCATTCAAAATATCAGTCTTTTAATATGATAGGGAAACTCTGCCTGAAGTCCCTTCGAGGGCTACTACCGGTCCCAAGCCCGGATAAAGGAGGAGGGTTGGGGATGGGGTTAGCGTCCCCATCACGTAGAAAACTAACTCGCTAAAAAAACGCTAACCAGAAAAAAATTATTCAAACCTTAAATATGATGGGGAATGTTTAAACGATTGAAATTTAATATGTTATAATGAATAAACCAAAAAGAGATTGTTGTATACTTCATGTATTCAATGGGGTAGACTAACTTAGGTCAATTAGCTCAATAAGATTATAAGTATATTCATAATTACAAATTAGTTAATTTAATATTAATCATTGAACTTACAATATTCATCTGATGAATTTAATGATGGTGCTTGTTTGTATACAATAGTTTTTTTCAACATTGGCTTTAATTGATTAGATGATTTTTGTTCTGATATTTTTTCTGTTTGAGCAGTTAGTTTCGGTTTGACAGTAGTAATTGTAATAACAGAAGTAGTAGTATTAGTATTAGTAGTTTTTTGTTCATCATCTTCATAATATTCACCTTCATTAGGTTTGGCTAAAATTCACAGTGAAAAAGAAATTAGACTTAACAAGAATTATCTTGTTTCTGTTGTTGTTGTTGTTGTTGTTGTTGGGATTAATGACTTGAAAGATTGCATTATTGATTAATCATCGAGCGTAATCAAACAGGTACCTAGCCTAATTGACTATTAAATATGTGATTTCCCCTCCTGTCATTAATATCTACTCAGCATTGCTTAGGAATGACTGATTATAATTGTGTTGAATAAAATATTATCAGAATGGCGGGGTGTTGTGGAGTTTGTAGTAATTTTATTTGTTGAATCCATTAGTCTATTAAAGCTAAACCATCACAGAAAACCTGGAAGCACTAGACAGCCGTTTCGTCCTAGTATGGCATTACTGAGCAGTGCGCATTCACGATCCCGCACGCGAGAATTCAAATAAAATATTATCTAGTCTATACTCTAGTACTCTACTCTGGGTGGTCAATTCTTGTTTTAATATTACGTGACTAGTCTTATTATACAATTAACATATTATTGTAGAATACGTGAAAAATAGACAAAAATATATGACATCATCAGTCATAGCAACAACAAAATTTTATAGACTACAGAATAAAAGGAGGCGCGGATCGGCAAAGCAAGAACAGCATATTCACAACTAAAGAACATCTGAAACCCAAAAGAAATTGCAACCAACACCAAGGTCAGAATTTTCAATACAAATGTCAAAACAGTCCTACTGAATATGTCGGAAACTTCGACAACTACGAAAGCCAACATCCACAAGTTACAAGTGTTTATTAACAGTCGCTTGCGTAAAATAATTCGGATCCATTGGCCAAACACTATCAACAACAACCTACTGTGGGCGAGAACCGACCAGATTCCACCGGAGGAAGAAATCAGGAAGAAGTGCTGAAAGTGGATAGGACAAACATTGAGGAAAGAGCCCAACTGCGTCACAAGCCAACCCTTCACATGGAATCCTCATGGCCAAAGGAAGAAAGGGAGACCAAACAACACATCACGCCTAGAAACGGCGACAGACAGACATGAGAAGAATGAATAACAATTAGATAAAACTAGAAAGGAAGGCCTAGGACAGAATGAGTTGGAGAAAGTTGGTCAGCGGCCTATGCTCTATTAGGAGTCACAGGCGAAAGTAAGTAAGTAACACAATAAAAAACAATATGACTTGAGATATTTAACAAAATCGTTCAATTTAAATAATAGCAAAATATACGATAATTAATAATTGAAAGTAGACGTTAGGTAGAAATTTTTATCAGACTTACGAAGTATGTCTGAAGTATTAAATGTGGGAGATGAATTAGAAGAAACAGATTTTTTCACGATTGAAGTTGACCTAGAAGATGATATCATCTTTGGTAGTCTTGATGTTTGACGAGGCATTTTCAAGAACGGACAAGTAGCAATAATGGGATTTATTCCGTCTTCATCATAATAATCGATTCCAGTCGAAATTGCTTTAAAAATGAAAATAAAGGAAATAACAAAACCAAAAAAGACGCGCAAAAACAAACAAAAATATAAAAAAAAACACTTCCTAAAACAAAACGAGCGCGAAACAGAAGAAATCAAATACAGGAAGAAAAATCTGCATCATGAAGTGCAAGTCCCAGAAGGTCTGGTGTGATGTGTGCATGAGTGAGAGTGGGAGATTGTCTCGATGTGTTTGACACTAACAGGCTTGTGGTGGGCATCGATCGTGTGTGTGCGAATCGTCCACTCTCATGTGTGTCTGTGGGAGACACGTGTGCACGTGTGATTGCGTGAGTGATGTTGGAGATTTCCATGTGGATGTGTAATGGCATGGGAAATGCGTAGTGATTCGGTGTGTTTGTGTGCTGGCAATGTGACGAGTGATTGATTGATTAATTGATGGATTGATTGTGTGTGTGTGTTTGTGTGTGTGTTTGGCAATCCAGTGAGTGGTTGTATTTGTGTGTGGTTATTGGCATGGTTGTTTTGTTATTTTTGGTATGTCAGTTCGAATGATTGGTTTGATGTGTGAATGTATGAGTGGTGGAGTGAGTGGATGAGTGTTTGTTTGACGTAGTGATACAGTTCGAGAGAGCCACTCGAATGAGTGAATGCAGTGAGGGATAACGGACAGTGTTCGTTCGAGCAAGAGGACACTGTGAAGTGGAACTGATGTGACGATGAGAGGAGCACAGTGATTGTTACTGGTCGGAGCTGAGACGAGATTGAGTGTTGGTGCAGAATGCAGTGAGTGTGTGAATCTATGCGTTTATCGTGTAAGACTTACGTTTGCTTGAGTCGGTGACTGATGCAGTTCCGTTTCGTTTGGGTGATGTTTCGGAGGGGAGTCGACGTCGTCTTCTTCTCTTGCCCGTCTTGTCCACGTAGTCGACGTAGAGCTCGTCGTCTTGTGGTGTGGTGCTGGATGGTGCTCCTGTGTCAGGTGACGCCGTGGGTTCTGCGAACAGTGGATAAGAGAAGAGAGAGAGTGTTAGCATGATGAGGACAGCAATGTCGAGTGACTCTGGATGGTAGACTGAATGATCCAGTCTGTCTGGTGTGATGTGTGCATGAGTGAGAGTGGGAGATTGTCTCGATGTGTTTGACACTAACAGGCTTGTGGTGGGCATCGATCGTGTGTGTGCGAATCGTCCACTCTCATGTGTGTCTGTGGGAGACACGTGTGCACGTGTGATTGCGTGAGTGATGTTGGAGATTTCCATGTGGATGTGTAATGGCATGGGAAATGCGTAGTGATTCGGTGTGTTTGTGTGCTGGCAATGTGACGATTGATGGATTGGTTGATTATTGATTGATTGATTGTGTGTGTGTGTGTGTGTGTGTGGCAATCCAGTGAGTGGTTGTATTTGTGTGTGGTTATTGGCATGGTTGTTTTGTTATTTTTGGTATGTCAGTTCGAATGATTGGTTTGATGTGTGAATGTATGAGTGGTGGAGTGAGTGGATGAGTGTTTGTTTGACGTAGTGATACAGTTCGAGAGAGCCACTCGAATGAGTGAATGCAGTGAGGGATAACGGACAGTGTTCGTTCGAGCAAGAGGACACTGTGAAGTGGAACTGATGTGACGATGAGAGGAGCACAGTGATTGTTACTGGTCGGAGCTGAGACGAGATTGAGTGTTGGTGCAGAATGCAGTGAGTGTGTGAATCTATGCGTTTATCGTGTAAGACTTACGTTTGCTTGAGTCGGTGACTGATGCAGTTCCGTTTCGTTTGGGTGATGTTTCGGAGGGGAGTCGACGTCGTCTTCTTCTCTTGCCCGTCTTGTCCACGTAGTCGACGTAGAGCTCGTCGTCTTGTGGTGTGGTGCTGGATGGTGCTCCTGTGTCAGGTGACGCCGTGGGTTCTGCGAACAGTGGATAAGAGAAGAGAGAGAGTGTTGGCATGATGAGGACAGCAATGTCGAGTGACTCTGGATGGTAGACTGAATGATCCAGTCTGTCTGGTGTGATGTGTGCATGAGTGAGAGTGGGAGATTGTCTCGATGTGTTTGACACTAACAGGCTTGTGGTGGGCATCGATCGTGTGTGTGCGAATCGTCCACTCTCATGTGTGTCTGTGGGAGACACGTGTGCACGTGTGATTGCGTGAGTGATGTTGGAGATTTCCATGTGGATGTGTAATGGCATGGGAAATGCGTAGTGATTCGGTGTGTTTGTGTGCTGGCAATGTGACGATTGATGGATTGGTTGATTATTGATTGATTGATTGTGTGTGTGTGTGTGTGTGTGTGGCAATCCAGTGAGTGGTTGTATTTGTGTGTGGTTATTGGCATGGTTGTTTTGTTATTTTTGGTATGTCAGTTCGAATGATTGGTTTGATGTGTGAATGTATGAGTGGTGGAGTGAGTGGATGAGTGTTTGTTTGACGTAGTGATACAGTTCGAGAGAGCCACTCGAATGAGTGAATGCAGTGAGGGATAACGGACAGTGTTCGTTCGAGCAAGAGGACACTGTGAAGTGGAACTGATGTGACGATGAGAGGAGCACAGTGATTGTTACTGGTCGGAGCTGAGACGAGATTGAGTGTTGGTGCAGAATGCAGTGAGTGTGTGAATCTATGCGTTTATCGTGTAAGACTTACGTTTGCTTGAGTCGGTGACTGATGCAGTTCCGTTTCGTTTGGGTGATGTTTCGGAGGGGAGTCGACGTCGTCTTCTTCTCTTGCCCGTCTTGTCCACGTAGTCGACGTAGAGCTCGTCGTCTTGTGGTGTGGTGCTGGATGGTGCTCCTGTGTCAGGTGACGCCGTGGGTTCTGCGAACAGTGGATAAGAGAAGAGAGAGAGTGTTAGCATGATGAGGACAGCAATGTCGAGTGACTCTGGATGGTAGACTGAATGATCCAGTCTGTCTGGTGTGATGTGTGCATGAGTGAGAGTGGGAGATTGTCTCGATGTGTTTGACACTAACAGGCTTGTGGTGGGCATCGATCGTGTGTGTGCGAATCGTCCACTCTCATGTGTGTCTGTGGGAGACACGTGTGCACGTGTGATTGCGTGAGTGATGTTGGAGATTTCCATGTGGATGTGTAATGGCATGGGAAATGCGTAGTGATTCGGTGTGTTTGTGTGCTGGCAATGTGACGATTGATGGATTGGTTGATTATTGATTGATTGATTGTGTGTGTGTGTGTGTGTGTGGCAATCCAGTGAGTGGTTGTATTTGTGTGTGGTTATTGGCATGGTTGTTTTGTTATTTTTGGTATGTCAGTTCGAATGATTGGTTTGATGTGTGAATGTATGAGTGGTGGAGTGAGTGGATGAGTGTTTGTTTGACGTAGTGATACAGTTCGAGAGAGCCACTCGAATGAGTGAATGCAGTGAGGGATAACGGACAGTGTTCGTTCGAGCAAGAGGACACTGTGAAGTGGAACTGATGTGACGATGAGAGGAGCACAGTGATTGTTACTGGTCGGAGCTGAGACGAGATTGAGTGTTGGTGCAGAATGCAGTGAGTGTGTGAATCTATGCGTTTATCGTGTAAGACTTACGTTTGCTTGAGTCGGTGACTGATGCAGTTCCGTTTCGTTTGGGTGATGTTTCGGAGGGGAGTCGACGTCGTCTTCTTCTCTTGCCCGTCTTGTCCACGTAGTCGACGTAGAGCTCGTCGTCTTGTGGTGTGGTGCTGGATGGTGCTCCTGTGTCAGGTGACGCCGTGGGTTCTGCGAACAGTGGATAAGAGAAGAGAGAGAGTGTTAGCATGATGAGGACAGCAATGTCGAGTGACTCTGGATGGTAGACTGAATGATCCAGTCTGTCTGGTGTGATGTGTGCATGAGTGAGAGTGGGAGATTGTCTCGATGTGTTTGACACTAACAGGCTTGTGGTGGGCATCGATCGTGTGTGTGCGAATCGTCCACTCTCATGTGTGTCTGTGGGAGACACGTGTGCACGTGTGATTGCGTGAGTGATGTTGGAGATTTCCATGTGGATGTGTAATGGCATGGGAAATGCGTAGTGATTCGGTGTGTTTGTGTGCTGGCAATGTGACGATTGATGGATTGGTTGATTATTGATTGATTGATTGTGTGTGTGTGTGTGTGTGTGGCAATCCAGTGAGTGGTTGTATTTGTGTGTGGTTATTGGCATGGTTGTTTTGTTATTTTTGGTATGTCAGTTCGAATGATTGGTTTGATGTGTGAATGTATGAGTGGTGGAGTGAGTGGATGAGTGTTTGTTTGACGTAGTGATACAGTTCGAGAGAGCCACTCGAATGAGTGAATGCAGTGAGGGATAACGGACAGTGTTCGTTCGAGCAAGAGGACACTGTGAAGTGGAACTGATGTGACGATGAGAGGAGCACAGTGATTGTTACTGGTCGGAGCTGAGACGAGATTGAGTGTTGGTGCAGAATGCAGTGAGTGTGTGAATCTATGCGTTTATCGTGTAAGACTTACGTTTGCTTGAGTCGGTGACTGATGCAGTTCCGTTTCGTTTGGGTGATGTTTCGGAGGGGAGTCGACGTCGTCTTCTTCTCTTGCCCGTCTTGTCCACGTAGTCGACGTAGAGCTCGTCGTCTTGTGGTGTGGTGCTGGATGGTGCTCCTGTGTCAGGTGACGCCGTGGGTTCTGCGAACAGTGGATAAGAGAAGAGAGAGAGTGTTGGCATGATGAGGACAGCAATGTCGAGTGACTCTGGATGGTAGACTGAATGATTCCAGTCTGTCTGGTGTGATGTGTGCATGAGTGAGAGTGGGAGATTGTCTCGATGTGTTTGACACTAACAGGCTTGTGGTGGGCATCGATCGTGTGTGTGCGAATCGTCCACTCTCATGTGTGTCTGTGGGAGACACGTGTGCACGTGTGATTGCGTGAGTGATGTTGGAGATTTCCATGTGGATGTGTAATGGCATGGGAAATGCGTAGTGATTCGGTGTGTTTGTGTGCTGGCAA